ACATGCTCTTTGGCCTTTGAACCCAGAGCTCTTGAAATGTCCAAGGATAAAAGCAGAACCTCCCAGAGCCTCTCAGGTCTCTCAGAACATCTCACTGGCATACAGTTCTTTGTTCTTTCTCCAACTTCCGGCTTTAACCAAGGCTTATTCTATGCTTAGCTTCCCCAACCTGCTGATAGAGTTTGGCATTGTATTTTAAATATGCCACAGAATAAAAGTGCAGTGTAATTCATTCTTTAGGGGCTTTAGCATAAAGGAATAGTACAAATGACGACGGGGAGAGAGCAGCTGTGTGAGGAACTTGATTCGTCCATTTCATCCCAAGTCCTCATCTTTACATCGGGTTAAATGCTTTTACATCTTCCTCTCTCATAAGACTGTGGTTTACTGTAGTTAAATGCATTCTTTCACTCTCACTTCTTTTGGTGAAATTATTTTTGTTAGACAACATTGTGTAAAGTTATTAAGGCAAAAATATATCATAGCAAGCCTCAGTCTGAGGGAAAAGCAAGCCTTCACCATTTCACCACAGTAGGTGTCTTAGTTAGGGTTTCTGTTGCTGTGAAGAGACACTAGGACCACAGCAACTCTTATACAGGAAAAACATTTAAATGGGTGGCTTACATTTTCAGGTTTAGTACAGTATCATCACAGTGTGATATAGTGGCATGCAGGCAGACATGGTGCTGGAGAAGGAGCTGAGAATCCTGCTTCTTGACTGGCAGGCAACAGGAAGTGGCAATGCTGAGCCAAGTTTGGACAAAGGAGACCTCAAAGCCCACCCCCACAGTGACACACTTTCTCCAACAAGGCCACACCCACTCCAACAAAGCCCCACCTTCTAATAGTGCCACTCCCTATTAGTTTATGGGGGCCAATTACATTCCAACTACCACAGTAGGCTTCACCACTCTGCTTAGCAGGCATCAAATGCTGCCAGTCTGTGGGACTCAGAGATGGATGGAATCAGGGCCTGCTTCTCTGTGAGTTAGAGGAAGATGTTTCATCTCACTGGTAATGGGGGAAGTGTAAATTAAAACCACGATGAGCTAAAAAGATAAAGGAATCAAAACATTTCATCACAGCAACCGAATGACTCATGCAGGAAAACATCAGGAGCAGGAAAGTAGAATAAGAGGTCTGTGAGACAGAGAGAAAACTATAAAATAAGAGCAACGTGTCACTCCCTGTCAACTTAGCATAAATGGGTTCGACTTCCCAACCGAAGGAGAGAATAGCTCAAGGCATAAAAAAGCTAGACCCAACTATATTCTGTCTATAAGAAACTTCTTTGTATTTAAGGACACAGGCTGGAAATGAATCGGTAGGAAAGATAGTTTTTACAAATGGGGATCAAAACACAGCAGGAGAAGAGCCAGAATTCCGTCAGCAAAATAGACTTTAAGTCAAGAACTGCCACCAGAGACAAAGAAGAACATTCCATAGTCGCAAAAGGACAACTTTATTAGAAATATAAAACAATTCTACATGTCTGTGCATATGAATATATATGCACTCAGCATCAGAGCAATTGATGAATAAAGTAAATGTTGACAGGAATTGAGGGAGAAATAGATAATAAAATAGTGGTAGGAGTCTCTAATGTCCCATTTTTAACAATGGAGGGATGAGAGGAAATTACTGAGGAAACATTGGACATGAGATAAACTTTAGGTCAGAGACAAGGATAGTATTAAGATCATTCCTTACAGGTCAGCAGAACACACTCTTCTTCAGCATATGTAGAACATTTTTAAGAAAGGTCATCTATTTGGTCACAAAACAAGTCCTAACAAGTTTAGAAGATTAAAATTACATCAAACAATCTTTTTCTAACCACAATGTCACAAAATTAGACATCGGCAATAGGAGAACTGGAAAAGTCACGAATAGTGGAAATTAAAACATCTTTTTTTTTGAGCAACCAAAGATTCAAAGAAGAAAGCAGCAATTTAAAATTTAAAATGCCTTGAAGTAAATAAAAATAGAAGCACAATATTCCCAAACCTAAAAATGTAGCTAGAGCAATCGTTAGAGGTAATCTTCTGGTGCTAAATAAAGTCTACACAAAGAAAAATAGGGAAGCAATCTGATGTTATATCTGAGGAAACTAGAGAAAGTGAAGAAACTAATCAACGTTAGAAGAATGGAGAAATGTGAGCAGAAATCCATGAACTAGACAAGAATAGAACTATAGAAAAGACTATTAAACTAAGAGTTGAGATTTGGAAAAAATAAACAAAATCAGCAGCTTTTAGATAAACTAAGAAAAAGCTCAGAAAACTCAGCTAAAATAAGAAATCAAGAGGAAGATATTATGGTTGATACTATGAACATACAAAAAATGCCAAGAAGGCCAGGCGGTGGTGGCGCATGCCTTTAATCCCAGCACTTGGGAGGCAGAGCCAGGCAGATCTCTGTGAGTTCGAGGCCAGCCTGGACTACCAAGTGAGTCCCAGGAGAGGCGCAAAGCTACACAAAGAAACCCTGCCCAAAAAACAAACAAACAAACAAAAATGCCACGAGATTCTCTTGAAAAATTATACATAAACACCTGAGATAACACAGAATTGGATATATTTCTACATACATGCAACCTACCAAGAATGGATCATAATGAAACAGCAAATCTGAACAGGCCAATAACAAGTGAGATGCCTGAATCAGTAATAAGTATTCCATCAAAGAAAAGCCCAGAACTTAATGCCTCATTGGTGAATTCTATAAAATATTTAAAGAGGAGTTGATATTAACTCCTCTCAAACTCTTCTAGACTCATTTTATGAGCCAACATTACCCTGATTCTGAAACCAGAGAAATTATAGGCCAACAATCCTGAAGACTATGGAGGCACATGACCTTAATAACCCAAGTTCAATATCTCATTAAAAGGAACATACACCATAATGAAGTGGGGTTTATCCAAACATACACAGATAACTCACACATGCAATCAATTACTGTGATAAAAGTGCATTACTACAATAAAAGATTGAACTCAGATACTTATCTAAATATACACAAATAATTACTTACAATATAATTAAAACTGAAAACTTTTCTTTTCGGATCAGGAACAAGGCAAGGGTATTTACTCTCACTCCTATTCAACCCAGGACTAGGAGTCCTGGCCACAGTAATTAAGCAAGAAAAGAAATATGAAGCATTCATGGATCCTAGTTACTAGATTGCTTGCTTAGCATGTGCTAAGCTCTAGGTTTAATCCCTGGCACCACATAAATTTGGCATGGTGATATACCCCTATAGTCATGAGGTGGATGTATGTGGATCCAAAGTTTAGATTATCCTTGGCTATATAGTGAGCCTGGGATACATCAGACCTTGCCTCAAAACAAACACACACTAAAAGGAAAAACTCCAGTCAAAATTATCTGACTGAGAAGTCTAACTACCAATGACACAATATGTAGGAAACTTTAAGTACCCTATCATAAAACTGTCAGAACTAAAACATTTAGCAAAGTTGCACAATATAAAAATCAGCATACAATATAGTTTCATTTCTATACAATAATAGCAAACTATCCAGAAGATGAATTAAGGAAAACAGTGTCACTTCTAATACTATCAAAAATAACAAAATACTTATGAATAAACATAACCAATGAAGTGAAAGATTTATACTCTCAAAACCACAAACATTATTGAAATAAATTAAAGCATATGTAAATACTTGGTTATGCTTGCATCTGTAGTTCCTGTTTGTCTACTCAGATTTTCCATTTCAGCATTCCCTCAGTTTGTGTCTTCTTCATTGCTTCTATTTCAATTTTCAGGTCTTGAACTGTTTCCTTCATCTGTTTGATTGCTTTTCTTGGCTTTCTTTAAGGGATTTATTGATTTCTTGCAATTTTTTGTTTGTCTTTTCCTCAATTTCTTTAGGAGAATTTTTCATTTCCTCTTTAAAGAACTCTATCATCTTCATGAAGTTATTTTTAAGGTTGTTTTCTTCTGCTTCTTCTGCGTTGTGATGTTCAGGTCTTGCTGTTGTAGAACTGCTAGGTTCTGGTGGTGCCATATTTCTCTTTATGTTGTTGTATGTCTTATTCACTGGCATCTACCTATCTCTTCCTTCAATCAGTGCAAGAGGTGTCTGTGTCTGAGGGAGCTGCTCTTCATCCAATCTGTGCTGGCTGTTGTAAATACTTAGAAAGACATTCGGTGTTCACAGATTGGAAGAATGAACATTGCTAAACAGTTTGTACCTCTCAGAGTGACACACAGTTTCCACTATCTCCATCCATTTTCCTATGACACATTTTTGCACAAATAAGTAACACATTCCTGTGAAATTTACAACATTTTCTACCTGACAATAGTCTATCAGTAAATGAAGTTCACCTTGAATAGCAACCTAGAATGGTGATCCCAGATGTAATCTTAAAATCAAGAATCATCTCAGATGTCAACAAAAATACTGTTTGAAAAACTCCACTCCTTGTTGGTTGATAATGAGGAAAGCAGAGTGGGCTCTCCAGGGATTAGTATTTCATAAGGCAATAATTCCCAGGAGATTCTAGTTGGTAGCCAAATCTGAGGATCACACCTGGGAAAAACATTCTTGGAAGAAGTACAGGGATACATACTATGTTTATTAAGGGCATGTTTTAGTAAATGATTTAAAGCCATCAAAATATGTGTCATTTGCTTTGTGCATAAAGTAACCTGTGGCATTTCCATAGAACAATACCATTAAGCCAAAAGAAACAAAAGAGATTTATATATAGCAAAGTGGACACATTGAAAATACCTCAAACAAAGCAGCAAGGCAATTACTTTATGTAAAGCTCATTAAAACATATGAAAACTAAACCTACAGATAGCAATGCTGTTTTACAATGCATATGCATATGGTGATTTTTTTATATAAAAAGACACAAAAGGTGAGTTGGTACCTTAGCCAGATAAAGAGAATCGATATAAGCATCAAGGCTATCAGAATCCTAATGTAAAATATTGATAGTTTGCCAAAAGAATAGATAAAACCCTCAATTCTGCATATCAAGTTAAGAACAGGAATCACCAGCTGATAGGTGAACTCTGAGGAAAATAATTTTGATGAACTTGTTGGGACAGAAATCCGAATTTAGGAGATAATCTAACATAAAGACTACCTTCCTTTGTGGATATCATCAGAAAGAATGTTAGCTGCACAAGAAATCAAAGAGGCAGGGTACCAAGAAGGGTCTAGAGAGAAAGCTTTTCTGTGAGATTATTGAACCAATGATAGAAGGAATGAAATCTGTGGAAAGGGACAACTGAGGTCATGGAATTGTTTTTTAAAAGAAACCCCTGTAGGTAGGGGAAGGGGAGGCAGAAAGCCACAGTAACACTCAATGGGCTTCTTCAGGTCACCTGGGATATGCACTGTGAGTGTGAGTCATCCCTCCTTTTGTTTTACAACAAAGGAATGGATCACTAAGAAACATGCTAAGCTATGGGTTCCACACTCTCATCCTTGTGGATTCTTATGGGCCTGAGTTGAGTCTTGGGAATGTGTATTTTAAAAAGGTGGGTAATGTTTATGCTCCCTGGAACTGGCTAGCACTCATTTAGGGCATAGGAGAAGAGAATACTTTTGGGTAGGAAAAAGAATGTTTCTTTTGTGGTGGGTAAAAAGCTTTAAGAATGGATGGATGCTGATAAATAGACAAGTAGACAAACAGATGACTGATGGATAATAATCGTGATAGATGTTAGATTGTATTTGGCATTTTCTTTGGACTGCCAACCAGCTCCCAAATAAAGATGTGGAGACATTATTAATTATGAATGCTGGGCCTTAGCTTAGGCTTTTCCCACCTGCTCTTTTAACTCCATTTAATCTGTTTCTATTCATTTATGTTTTTTCCTAGGGGCTTTTTACCTTTCTTCATTCTGTATGTCCTACTTTCCTGCTTCCTTTGGGTCTGGCTGACTGGCCCTTGATATCTCTTTTTCTTTCTTCCTTGAGCTAAAATTCCTCCTCCTACTTACTTTCTCTGCCTGGAAGTTCCTCCTATATCTCCTCCCTCACTATTGGCCATTCAGCTTTTTATTAGACCAATCAGGTGCCTTTGGCAGGCAAGGTAAAACAGCAACACATCTTTGCATAGTTAAACAAATATTCCACAACAATAGACAGAAGACAGACAGACAGACAGACAGATAGATATATGGTAAGAGATTATAAATTAGCTGGATAAACAGATATATTGGTAGATTTACTAATTAAATGTGTCCTGCATCAAACAATCTGGCCTCAAAGCTTGGAAAAAGTTCTTTTTTAGTAACTATGATTGACACTGTTCTAAAGTATCTTGTCCTCTCTCCAAATAGCAGTGATGTAATTAAGCTGGTTGAGAATGGGAGCTACACCTCTGACCTAAATGTCTCAAGAAGCTACTGCTGATGGATCAGTGAGGGTCCACCCATTGCAGCAGGTCCTCTCAGTGAGAAGCAGGGACACAGAGCTGATGGTACCTGGAGAAGGATGGACACTTTCTACTGGCTGGCCCTATGTGACATGGGGATAGGATAGAGAGAGGGTTGGGAAGGAAGAAGTATTAGGACAACTACTAATCTGAGAAAAGTCCCTACTCTGTGTCACCCACATGTGCTGTATGTCTGCTAAAATCCCATTTTCCTCTACATCCCCCCGCCCCAATATCTCAGCTGCCCAGCAAATATGGGTTCATTCTTCAGGAATCACTTCAAGAATCATGTTCAGGACCATCTCAGAGATCTGTACTTTCTCTTTCAGTGTGTTCAGTGCATCATGATTATGTCTGCCTCTGCCCCGATACAACCTTGCGTCTGCCTCTAGTCTAGCAGCTTTGATATCACAGTGCAGATTCTCAAATAAGCAACCACTGGCTTACTAACAAGGTAATAAACTGAGTGATAATCAGAAATAAGCCAGCCTGTGGATGTCGATCAAACCCATAGTTGCCCATATGAGGAACAGACAGAAAGAAGTATTCAGAAGTGGATGTGGTTGCTACTTGAGTATCCTGGAAGGCTGTGCAGTCATTTGTCTGCCACCAATGTGCCAGGAGGTCTGGGTAAAGAGAAAACAGCAGGCTCAATTCTATACTGGGTAATTTGGAAGTGATTGAACTGTTCCTAGCGCATCCTGTGATAAGCTTTCTTGTTGTTCAGGGCAAAATAACCAAGGAAACTGAATTTCAAGATAATTATACCTGCTATTTTCTGATACCAATAAGAGAGAAAATCCTATGACTGTAAAGGGACTCCTTTCTAGGTAGGAAACAGATTTCTGGTTAGCTGAATATCATCATTCAGCAACTTCCCATCACATCATTTAACTCAGTTCTCAGGGAATGCTGGGCATACCTGTGTATATTTCTCTACCATTATAATTATATGTGATAGGTGTGTATGTTCCATCAGTGTGATTATACATTGTAAAGCATATAGAAGCAATATCTCTAGGACACTTTGGTTATTGATTTTCATATGAGAGCTGTGAAATCATAGAATGTCAGAGAACATGTTAACCCCCAAATCTCATTTTGCCAGACAACACTAAACCTTGGGAAGATATCGCTAACTTGATTCAAACTTTGTATTCACTTGAACAACAAAATCAGGTCATTCATCCATTTAGTGACTTAATATACAAAAGTGGGTGTTAAATATACAAATGACCGAGACACTGCCCCAGATGTCAAGGACTTTGCAACCTTCCTGGGAACAAACCCATAAACAACAGTGTGTTTTGGTTTTAATTTTTAACAGTATTGAAGTTTTTTAAATAAATGGCTTCAGTCCTTCAATTCTACTCTCAAGAATTAATTCAATGGAAACAAATGGGAGGAAAGGGAAGATTTAGTTATAAAATGCCCCCTTAAAATGTTCTTTAAAAATAGTTTATTTATTTGTATTTTATGTACAGCAGTGTTCTTGCATGTATGTCTGTGTGAGGGTGTCAGATCCCCTGGAACAGGCGTTATAGACAGTTGTGAGATGCCATGTGGGTGCTGGGACTTGAACCTGGGTCCTCTGGAGAGCAGCCAGCACTCCCAACCATTGAGCCATCTCTCCAGCCCCCTTAAAAGTGTTCTCAATTTCAGGATAAAGTAGGGCTTATGATACCTTGACCTCTTTGCAGTCACTCAAATGCAGGTGAAAGAAAAATATTAACATAGAAAGATGATCACGGTATGCTATTAGAAGATCAAGTGGTAGATTCCACCGGACTGTAGAGACTGTGAGTCTATCTTTTGAGGTACCTTGTTTTTATGCCTAGAGTCACTTTCAAAGTGTTATCAGTAGGCATTGCTCTTTTCCTCATGGATGCATTTTCTAAATGTTTTATGGTGCAAACACATTTACTTTAAAATAAGAAGAGAAAAATAATAATATCTGGATATCGAGGCAACACTTGAGTTCTCAAGAAGTTGATCTACGCATGTGGAGTCAGAGGACATAGAAGTTTGACTTGAACTGATACATTCATCCATGACCCATTGGGCATTGTCTATGTGTAAAATATCATGGAGGAAAACCTAGAGCAAATGTTTTATTTTTCTAAATGTTAATGAAGATGAAGATTAACAAATAACATGTCAGAAGGAAAGACCACATTCCCAGGGCATGTGAGGGCACAATTCTGCTTAGGGAAGAGGAACTGACTGACATTAGTCATGAGTCCTGTGTCCCTGTCAGTCTACAAGGCAGCTCCCATGTCACCTCACATCTCATTATGTCCCATGCTGGGAGTGTTTGTTTTGATGAACTGGATTCTCAGAAAATAGGTAATGCAGGCATCTGTGCTGGTTCCTTATTAGACAGAACAATAAGTTACCCAGAACATCTAAGGTAAACAAAAATTTAGTGGTTATTTGATCACACTAATCTCTATCCTCCACAAAGTGCTTTCAACCTATTAGGGAGACATCAGCATGACATCTAAAGGAGGCACTGAGACAAATTCAATGGGAACACTGTACCAAGGACAGAATGGAAACAATATTTACCTCAGAGAGACCTCCAGGCTCTCAAACAGATTAAATTGGAATAGAACGAGCACATGCATTCCTTTATTTATTTACTTGGCAGAAGGCGCCTTATTTTATATAGATCACATAGCCATCATTGAAGATGTATTCTATTTTTAAAGTGTCACACCCTAGTGGAGAAAGCATCTGGCTTCTTGAAGGGCACAGTGCAGTCTAAGGAGATGCAGGGAAGGAGGGAGAAGTGGAGAATAAACACATACTGACCTCCTCCTGGAAGCTTCTTTTCCTTGATCCTTGCATCTTCTTTGAACCCGGCTCTCAGAATTTCCAGGGTGTTACTATGGTTTTGTTTTACAGATGGACAAGCAGAGGTTGATTGTCAGAGTTAGAAACACACATGCCTATAGCTGCACTCTTCGTAGCAGAGACAGTGTTTAGGTCCAGGCCTGTCAGATCTCAAGCTTGGGGCCTGTCTGCAGCATCCTGCTGTTTTGGAAGACCATGATGCATGCATGTCATGGTGTCAGGATAAATCAAAAGGGATGCAGGAACCCTGAGTGACAGGGCATGAAGACCTGGCACTTAATGCTGAAATTCTTCAGTGAAGTTGTGGCAGGCTTTTGTTCACTGGTATCAGCAGTGCCTGAGTGGTGTCTTGTTCAAGCGGGGTAAAGCTGATCAGATTCACATGTGCATTTGCACGTACTCAGTGAGACTGACCAGCAGTGTCATTATCTCCAATGCTGATGGTCTGCCACATGTAGAACTTGGAGAGGGCAGAGATCTGTCCTGGAATCCAGTGCCCAGGAAACTGGTCAAGCATGCTTCGTTCTTCACTGTGGTGTCTGCTCATTCTTGAATGCCATATCCCCCTGACTCCACCCCCAACCCCTATGACTTGTATGCTATGGTCCTACCATTAGAAGTTTGTTTAATTGGGGACAGGATATTGGTGGGGAAAACATGTCTCTTTGGGTTAGAGCATAAAGACTGAGCTCAAGGTACCTGATTCCTTACTGACCTCCAAATATGCAGTACCTTCTCTTCTGAGTGGTACCCTTGCTGTTCATTTGGCTTCTGGCCTTCTAAAAGTTATTTTCCAGGCACCTAGACCATCTTCACATTGAGGGCTTCTGTTCTGAGGGAAATACAGAGTCACAGTTCTCTAGGCCTCAAGTTCTCATCAAAGCTTACGTCTATAATGTCACATTCTCTTCGGCCCTGCAAGGCCACTCCTTGGGTTTAAAAATCATGGAAATGTGACCTTGATCTAGGAGCTAATAGAGTCCAATCTCAAATGTCACCCAATTCAATGACTTATTCTGGAATAATTATTGGAAAGTTTGGTCTTATGTTGAGTTAAAATCAGCCTCTCAGCTATTGCTTATTCAGTTTTGCCAGGGAAGTTATAGTCTACCTGCTACAAGCTATACTTTGAAATCTTTATGAGAGAGTTGATGGTCCTTGTTGGAAAGAGAAGCTCCTTGTAGGAGGCTTGTGGTGAGAACAAGTTTTAGGCAGTATCTTCCAGGAATCACAATGGAATCCCATCATCCTGATTCCTTTGTTGAGGAGTGTTTGGGAATTTTGTTGGTTTTCTACAACCATAATGCTCTATTGGCCGTCTGACCAGACTGAACTTTGATCAACCAGGGCTACCCTTATTTTCATGATAGAGATTGGACATAGTGGCTCACACTAACATCCCAGAACTATATACTGGCCAGTTTGGACTGTCCTTTCATGGCAAGAATTGCTGCCAGGAAACTGAATGCAAAGAAACTCTTCCAAATGTACCCCCCCAATATTTGATGGCTCTACTTTTGTCTAAAGGGTGAATTCATTCATCCCTCTGCCAACCCTTTCCCATAATAATAAGTGTAGCTAGACTCCTGGGCCACAACATAACCTTCAGTGAGATGTCTTCAGTTGCACCTATTACCTACCAATCACTCAGCTATGAATCTATCAATGAGTTAATTTACTGGTGCAGTTAATGCCCTCATGACCCAATTGCCTTTTCATAGAGCCATTGGCTGGGACCAAGCTCCTAATACAGGAACCTTTTGGAGTGGTACTTCTCAAAACCCTAACAGGTCTACAGGTTCCCTCCTCTTCTCCCTCCCCTTGTCTACTCCCTTCCACCTTCTCTATACTTTTCCCTTTCCCTCTATTTTTCCTCTGTGACTGCTGAAGCTAAAGATGGCAACTATCCAGCCATAGCCAGAGTGACACCTTGCTGGGGGTTGGGAAAAAATTAGGACTCTTAAATCCTCATTGGTTGATTTTGCTTCCAGTGAGTTTATTCCTAGAGGTGGTGAATTTAATGGCAACTTTCTGTTGTTAATAAAGAATAACAGATGTGCAGATAATTTTGAATTGTGTAATGCTGTGAGAAACAAATCAGCCCTATTGGCATAATACCTAATTTAAATAATGAATTAGCAGTATATTAAGTTTCAATGCCCTTGTTGAAAAGTGAAAATCTGAGAGCAAAATGTGCTGTTGTGCAATATGATACCCTAGTAATCCTGAACTGGCTTCATTCTCTTATTGAAGAAAAAAACAAATCAGGTTCTTTGGATTATCTGATCAAATTCCCAAGGGTAAAAGTATTACACTCTGAAGATCTTTATAAATTGACACAATTATGACACAGTATATTCTTTGATCCCCAAACAGTGGTTTAGAGTGTTAATTAGAATATATATCCTTTCCGATTTGGGTTTATTTTCTCTATGAAGATTATGATCATAAACCTACTTGTGAGACATTCTTTCCAATACGCATCAACTAATATTAGAGAAAAAATAAGCCATGTTTACTTTTTTATTTCCCCATCAGCTGTGAGCATGCTGTGGACTCTCCTCTTCCATGTGACATCTGCTGACCCCTAAGCATCAAAGCTAGGCCAAGGTTGACTCTTTTCTTGACCGGTGCTGATACCATCCCCTTATAATTAGAAATAACTTTATAGTTAGAAACTGAGGCTCAATGAGATTACATGATTCATCCAAGTTTTCAGAATTAACAATGACTTAGCTAGAGACTACACATACATTTTCTAGATTCAGGACTACCACACTGTCTAAATTAGCAAAATAGAGGATGATGGTCTGACTCAGCTCAAGGCCATGGTTTTATCCTTTTTGAGATCAACACTAGGATTCACTCACTACAGTTAGCTGTTTTCAATGTACATCATATCTTTAATCCATCTCTCCTATACTCAGTAACATTTGAAGTTTGGGATTCCTATCCCTGGTCTAACCATGAGCTTTGGAGCAGAGAAAGATTTGTCCAGATCCATCCAATTACTACCAGTATATGCACTGGGAAAAACCTCAAGCCCCTTTCCTTCACACTGGAAATAACAAAACCTAGATTGTACAGCTGTTGCCAAATCTAAAAGGGAGCATCTGTAGAGTGCTTGGTGTCCTGTAAATAGCTATACTTCCAGTGATCACCTCCCTCACTACTGTCCTTTGTAGAAAATGTTCACATATTCTCGTAGCTTTGAAGATGCTGACCCCAGAAAAGTGTTGGCTGAGGTGGTTTGAGTTGCTACTATAAGAGGATGTTGCTGGGCAGTGGTGGCACATGCCTTTAATCCCAGCACGTGGGAGGCAGAGCCAGACAGATCTCTGTGAGTTCGAGGGTAGCCTGGTCTGCAGTGTGAGTTCCAGAACAGGCACCAAAACTACAGAGAAAGCCCGTCTTGAAAAACAAAAACAAAAACAAACAAAAGGATGTTAACTAGAGTTCTTGACTTTGTTCCTACCAAAGTATAGAATTGAGAGGCACCAGATGCCAAGGAGCATGTAAGCCTAATCCTCATGCCTTGTTATGATAAACTATAATAGAAATGTTCAACAGCTACCTTCACGATCTTGGTGTGTCAACTAAAGAAGACATAGAGAAGGAGGCCATAATGGCAAGAGATACCAAGACTGGAGAGAGGTATCTTAGGGTTTGGTTGTGTTTTTCAATCTAACCACTGCTTTGCTTGAGGCTAATGGGGGTGGATTTTTAGAGCTTGATGCAGCTGCTGCCACTGCTATAGGAGGGGAGCTGGGCTCTGTCTAATTCTCAGGCAGGAAATCTAGAGGACAAATGACAGATTGCTTTGGTGGCAACACCAGGGGAGGCTGGTACAATCAAATTAGTCTGCATTCCCCAAGGTCATTCAAGGCAAAGATATGAGAGTGTCTTTCTTGTAGTGTATGTGGGCTACATGGAAGTACTTATGGGAGATGTAATTGCTTCACCCCGAGATTCCTTCATCTCATTGCTGTTCCACTAATTTATAATTACAAGTAATTCTGTTCCTAAGGATTTTTGGAATTGGAGGAGACCCTTGTGGGGAAGCATCTAGGAGTGCTAAGGAACTGGAGCAGCCAGCATAAACTTCAGTTGAAGAGGTATGGGACTTAGGTGCTGTCTACATCTGTAAATGGCTCAACTCCCTTGATTCTGAACTAGGGTGATCCTGAGGTGTGCATTTGGCACCATTTATAAAAATTCATTGGTAGTTGGATTAGTAGTATTTCTTTGTATGGCTTTTCATCCTTTCCTATACCACTTTCTCGCTCTAGGAGAGGTATTCAGTACAATTTCTAAATACATGACTTCTATTCAGTCTCTTACATCATGATCTAAGGGAGCCAAAACTAAAACAGAGACACTAGAAGAGAGCCTAGGAATAATTTTTTTTCTGTTTCTTGTCAATCAGATGACAAAAACACCCTTCTGCAATGGTGACAAGAGAGGTGATGGGACTTCCTGGCACACTGAATATCTCAAGTACAAATGCTCCCATCAACAATGAATTGGAATGGAGTCCAGTGTTTTGCAATATTATTGGCAGTCCTTAAGTATGCTACCAATGGTAGTTATGATGACTGTGGGATTGATCATTGATAAATATAATCATTACACTTTGGTTTGTTTTCAGCTAACCACCAACTAAGGGCTCAGTGTGCCTCCCAGAAGAGCTCTAATGGCATTCATGGAGAACATGTTCTCTGTAGAGAAAGGCAAAATCAGCTGAAAGACAGGTGGATTCTTTAGAAAATACCTTCCCTGTTCCAAGAAAGAAAAGAGATTTTTGCCAAAAGCGTTATAAGACTCAGCTAATATGTTCTGACAGAGTCATGGAGAACGTACCCAAATGTAGGCTTCTAGAGTGCTGGCCCAGTAGTCAAGACGGAAAGACAGAGAAGAGAGGATCTTTGGTCTAGGGAGCATCATTCTTCCTTGGTCTCCATTTAATGTATGAGGGAAGACTGTGGGGATTAAGTCTGGTCTGCTGCAGGGAGTTCCTCTAACCTTGGGAAGTGAAGAGGTGTAGGAAATGAGGTGAAGGAGTTGTGTGCATGCCCAGGTGTGTGACTTCTTAGATGGCTGTTGGATGCGCATTCCTAGAGTTTCCTCAGAGGACTAAACAGCAAGAAGTCAAAGAAAGTGGCAGATTCTTACACAGTGAAGGAATAGCTGCTGCGGGTGACAACTGAGAAGTTGAGTGACTGTAGGCTAGCCAATGGAGAAGCTGCCCATCCAGAACCAGGGGAAGCATCTTCTAGGCACAGAAGTAGAAAGCCTTCATGAGACAAAGCCAATCTCAGCCAAGTGTTCTGACCCCCTTGCCATTTTTTCTGTCTTTATTGTATTCAATTCAGAGATTTAGGAGTCTGCCTAGTAAGTTAGGGATGGGTGACAGGTTATGTAGAACCAAAGATGGTTTCCTTCCATGTTCCAAGCTTTCTGTCAAAAATAATCCCCATTGGGAGGCATTTTGTAAATTGTTAGGTATTGTATTTGTAGTTTAAAAATGGAGACCTATCTTTGAAATAAAAGTTGCTCCAAGAGTCATCATGCCTGTCAACTTTTCACCCAATGGCTGAGAAAATACTTCCACATAATTGGCCAGAGGTACAGTGATAGCAAGCTATATTTGATGAAGCTGGAAAGAAGGAGGCCATTGGGCTTTCGCCCCTTGGCTCTCAAAGTGGGTGCAAGGATCTTTACTTTATACAGAAGAACCCAGCAGAAAGAACTGGGATGACTGCCTACAATGTGGCGTTCAGTCAATAGTTCATCATATAGCAGCTACAATATCTGTGACCTAAACCAAGTGTTTCTCTCTGGCTATACACTTTTATATTACAGAAAATAAAGTCCAGGGTCTAAGACTATAGCCTGGTGTAAAAGGGCTCACGTAGCTACACACAGCCCTGACTTCCATCGCCAGCACCATATTAAAAAGAAGATGAAGGAGCTGTACAAAGTCCAAAGCTACATTCAAACCCAGGAAGCTTACCTCCTCTTTCTTAGCATGAACTTTCTTTTTTTTTTTAATTAAGGAATTTTTTTCATACATTTTACACACCAATCAAAGATCCCCCTCTTCCCTATTCCTGCCCCCCCACCTCAGCCTCCCCTCCTAACCCATCTCTCACTCCCTCCCACAAGAAGTCATGGCCTCCCATGTGGAGGCACATTCAGTAGAGGCAAATCCAAGCCCTTCCCCCTGCCTCAAGGCTGTATGGAGTGTCCCATCATTGGTAGTGGGCTCCACAAAGCCTGCTCATGTACCAGAGATGGATTCTGATTCTACCGCCAGGGGGCCTCCCAAGCAGATCAAGCTATACAACTGTCTCATTCATTTACTGTTCTATATAAGTTAAGTTTAACTAAGTCCAGGAATCGATCAAGAAGGTTTGGAAGAAAACAAATAATTCTAACATGAATCATTTCCTACCATTATAAATGAAAGTTCACATGAATGTCTTTTTCTATTTCCATATTAGAATCTATCTTAGTTAAACTTAACTAGTATAAAACAGTAAATAAAATCATAAGGAGATATGGATAGAGCTCAAGATGTCAATTTCTTGTAATAGACCACTGTTTCTGACTCTATAGTGGCAAGATGTATGTCTAGACCAGTGGTTCTAAATCAGGGGTGATTTTGTGGTCCTTTCCATTAACATTCGGCAATGGCTAGACATAGTTTAGGTTGTCACACCAGAGAGAGGGATCTAGTGGGTAGGTCAGTGGGGGTAAATGTCTGTATCAGCTTCTTCCTGCTGTATAAGCAATTATCGGGCTTAGCAGCAAAACCAACACCTATTTATTATTTCATGGTTCTCTTAATCAGAAGTCTGACAGAATGGTGGAAGTGAATCTACATTAGGTTCTCTTCTTAGTGACTCAGGGCACAGAATCCAGATGTCAGCCAGGCTGGACTCTTACCTAGAGACTCAGAAAGAATATGTTTTCCAGATTGTTGGCAGAATTCAGTTCCTTGAGGTTGGGATAAGTCCTCACTTCTTGATGACTGTCAGTCACAGGCTTTGCCCTCACTTAAGCCAATACCTACCTGAGCTTGCTCCTGGCCACCCACATCTTCTAAGTCAACAGTGGCATGTTGAATATCCACATGCTTTGAATTGCCAACTTCCTCTTTGTGTTGCTAGCAAGAGACAAATCCCTTCTTTGCAAGAAGCTTATACAATTGGATTTGCCCTATCTGCTTTATTTCTGTATCTTACAGTTAAATATTTAGGCCTTTAATTACACCTACAAAAATCCTTTCACAGCAGTACCTAGATTGGTTTTTTTCTGAGTAGCCATTGGACTTAACCTTGGGGAGCCATCTTTAGAAGTCTACTTATTATAATACCCTACAGTGCACAAGGCAGCCTTTTACAACCAAAGCATTTTATCTGCCTCTGAATGTCAATAACACTTGGTCTAGGCATATCTTTTTGTGCATGGTGAAAGTATTTCCAGTCGCTCTGTCTCATGAAAAGCAAATCCACAGCCTACAGCACTTGAAAGAAACATATGCTACAGGGTTTCTGATCACGATCCAGAACTCCCATAATCCAAGAACTGTTGGTCACAAAGATTTTATCAATTATTTGGCATCTGTTGGTCCCTCTATCTTTACCCACCCCCTCTGTTAACTTAGCGTGTGTTCTTCTATTCTTTGACATAAGTGATGTCTTACTGGAAATTTTATTGGAAATTTGGAGATGGAGAAAATTCTTTGTGTTCGGACAGATAACCAGATTATGAGTATGTGTGTGACTAGGATTTTAGAGACCTTCCTATGGTCTCATGTAGCAGAAGTTGTGGCACAAAGTAGCCACACAGTGGGTATTTGTTGAATGTAAAAACTTCTAAAGATAATGTAGCATGAAAAAATCTTGGTGTTTTTAGATCCAGATTAAATTGGCTCTGAGACTTTATTAGAGAAACTTTGAGACATAAAGAGAAGAAATAGGAGGCTGGAAAGATTACTTAGTCAGTAACATGCTTACCATACTAGCTTGAGGACCTGAGTTCGCTTTGTAACACCTGTACACAGGTGTGGTGTGGTGTGTGGTTTGCACTCCTAACCCAGCACTGGTTAGGCAGAGACCTAGTGCATTTCTGGGGCTCAGTGGCCAGTCAGTCTAGTCTGATTGGCAAGTTCCTGGTCTCAGTGAGGAACCTTGACGGCTCTGGAGCAACAACACCTGGGGTTGGCCTCTGGCCTGTGCATCTTCTCCTCAATCCATGTACATCCACA